TTAACCTGTTTTCTGTTGAGGTTATTCTGTACCTCTCTGTGGCTGTTTTCTGGTTTGGGGAATGGCCTCCTATTAAGAGATTGTCTTAAAATACACTTCTGTCATTATGTCATTGCAGTCATTCTTGTGATGATATGTTACTGTGGTATAACTTTATATTAATAGCATTAAAACATGGCTATGTAGCAGCCAGCTGTTTGTAGGGGTAAGGTAATAAGACACCCATAAAAGGGGTTTTCTTTGTTTGTAATTCTGCCTTTATTCTACTCCATGGTTCTTGCATCATTTTTGTAACTAAAAAAATATACTAGCAGTTGAGATTTTAGAAATGAATGCCTGTGATGTAATCTGCACACTAGAAGTGAGGGGTTTGTTTTCATTAGTGTAATTCAGTTTTCCTACAAGAATTCAGGTTGTAATTAAATGTATCTTGTCTTGTTTCAGGTATGGCAATTTAGATGGCGATCCAAAGGAGATATCACCTGTTATTGATCAGTTCATTGAATGTGTTTGGCAATTAATGGAACAGTTTCCTTGTGCCTTTGAATTCAATGAGAGATTCCTCATCCACATACAGCATCACATCTATTCTTGCCAGTTTGGGAATTTCCTTTGTAACAGCCAGAAGGAGAGACGAGAGCTGAAGTATGAAAGTAGCATATTAGGCATTTGATTTCTTGAGTAGCATATTTACATATAGGGTCTGTGGCTAGTGGTGTATTGAGGAGTCAGACATTAACCTGCAGTCTGACTCCAGTCTGACATTACATCCAGTCTGCATGCGTGTGTTTTCATAAGGCACAGGGTGCCTGTTGTCTTCTGGCAACACAGATTAATACCACAAAAAGTTGATCCTCTGCAGTGTAGCTCTGCTGGGAGTGTAATCCATGGTGTGCGTGACATGGATTAGTGAAAACAGACAAGAGCATTAGTCCTTCAGCCATGTGGGCCTACCTTTACTGCAGGCCTAACAAGATACAAGGCAAGCTGTCCCTGTAGCTCTAATATAAGATGATATTAACTCCAGTTAAGTTTTCACTTCAAGAGTTACTGCTTTAACCTGTCTTTGGATCTCATGTCAGGACATTTTAGTTCTCCTCTCTCAGGTACTTCCTCATGAACAGCCTTTTTGTCTGGTAGCCCTCCCTAGGACTGAGCCAGCAAACTATCCTTCTGCTGCCCGGCCCCAAAGCAATTATGAATTTATCTACCTGCCCTTAGGCCCAAACAGGGACAGTATCATCATTCCTGGCAATGCTGATGTTTGTATCTGCTTCCTGGGGCCCTGGGTCCTCAATATAGGATGATATCCATCGCTTTTCTCATGTACCCTGATCATGTCAGCAGTAACAATGAGAGAAAGGTGGCAATTCCTGCTGGCTGCTGCCCGTTGGTCCCTTTCACTGCTCATATGCAGAGCAGCCACAGTGCCACAGTCCATTTAAAATCAAAACCGTCACAGATCATCATATCCTAAGACCCAATTGCACAAGCAATTGCGGTTCAGTGGGGTAGGAGTGCTTTTAAATGTGGGCATCCTTTTGGTGCAGAGATCAGCCTGAAAGCTTGCTTCATGGAAGCGATCCTCTCCACCTTTTCTCTCCAGCTGCTCTTGCTTCATGGGAAATGGATTGGATTTTGCCTTTAGTAATCAATAAGGGAATATGGGTCTCTGTTTCTCTGTACTTAAGTCTGATTTTGGTAAGGAAGCTGATTGTAAATGGGGAATACAGAGGACTAGAATGCTCTATCTAAGCTTTAACTATTCCTGAACTGTAGCAAGGACTTGAATTTTTTTTTTTTTTTTTTTTCCAGAATCCAAGAACGAACATACTCATTATGGGCTCACTTGTGGAAAAATCGTGCTGATTACCTGAATCCTTTATACAGGTCAGACCACAGTCAAAACCAAGGGACCCTGCACCCACAGATAGCTCCATGCAACTTCTTGTACAAGTAGGTACTATCACTTGCTACAGAGAATTGTAGGATGTGTTAGTATGGAACAAAGTGACTTCATATACAAGTATTTCTCGTTCTGTAAGTCAGTTTGTAGACAGTAAATTCAATCTCAGATAAAATGTGTTTGTTCCTTGTGTGCTCATAGTCAGTGAACACCTCTGCACATTCCACAACAGAGTATTAGTCTGCAAAGAAGCTTAAGATTAAAGCTATATTGATAGTTGTGTGTCCTAATTTCATGGTTACTCACTTCTTCCACTGAGAAATGCCTCTTTCAATTCTGTTCTTGTCTGTGGTTTCTAAATTTATAGCTGCTTTAACTTCTTCCATCCCAAGATTTTGTGATGGTTATTTGGATCAATTGGTATCAAAAATAAAAAGGATCTTTTCAAGAACGATATGGTTTCATTGCTAAAACAAGTGTTTAGTAAAACAAAAAGGAGACTTTCCCCATGTTGTTGTTATAGCTCAAAGTAAGTTTTACTTGATTTTTTTTAAAAAATGTAACAATATCATCCTTTTTGAAACATTACTGACATTCTGACTTAGTTGTGCCATTAATCTTAACAAACTTAAGAACTTTAATAGAAATGAAAATTGTGATTTAAGTAAAACTGATCAGTTTGTTTTCCAGTTGCAAGTAATAGCACCTAAAAAACCTCAATAAAAATCCTAAATAACAGAATTTTTTCATGTCTACTATACTAGACTTTAAAACAATTTAAAAATAGTCATTAATCATATTCTTTGGGATAGTGGGATTTATAAAAGAGGTACTGATACAGCAGATCTTCCAATGGATGAGTAATCCTGTTGATTTAATGGAATTACTTGGGTGCGTAAAGACTTCCAAGCAGGAGCTATCAGATGATAAACTTAAGGGGGAATGTGATTTAAATAGCACATTATTGGGATAGGAATAATAAGCCACCAATGAGCACACACGTGCTCCGAAAATATCTGTCAGCTACTTGGCCAGACAGCTGCAGCTGACGGCAGGGCTCAGCTACTTAACCCGTCTGCTGAACTGGTTACATTCAGAGTCTGGCTGTGGCCATAGTGTCAGGAAGGCAGAAGACACAGGAGCCCTAGAGAAAGCTACAGACTTAAAGTTTGAGTCCTTTCCTCCTGAACATGAAAAATCAACTCAACTATTTTAACTAAAGGTTTGTCAAGTAATTCAAGAAAACAGGAGGAGAAATTGCCAATGTATATAATTGCTTCATCCATAGGCAGTTTAAAATGTCAGTTTAAATTGTACGAGAACAGGACACCATACTGGTTTTTACTCATGATTTGTAACCCTTCTTTACAGTGGAACCCCTCCCCCCCATTAGTTACCTCCCCACCCCCCAAGCCCAGACAAATATAAGCATACAGAATCTCAAAGCTGACTTAATGAAAAAAACAACTGAGAACTAGGAATATGAAAAACTGTCTTTACCATTTCCTGTTTTATAAGTACCATGAAAATGCTCTGGAGCCCATACTGCAGAACAACAAAATAATACAAAAAAAAAACACCAAAAAATTTTGCATTCAGCCATGTGATCTAAGTCAAAGCTACATTCACCTTTCTTTTTATTGCATATCAAAACTGGTTCAAGGTGCTTATGTCCACAGAGTTGCACCCTCAGGACAGAGCAAATGCAAATGAACAATGAATCTTGTCAAATACTCTATGAATTTATGTGTATGCACTGTAATGATGCATAAGCCATGGATGGATCATTTAGAACAATGTCGGGGGGGGGAGGGGAAAGTGTGCATTTTATGTCTCATGAGGCCACCTCACTGAAAGAAAATTCCTGCCCTTTCCATTAATTCCAGGTTCTGGAGTGGTATGTACAACCGCTTTGAAAAGGGGCTGCATCCTCGACAGTCAGTTACTGATTATCTGATGGCAGTGAAGGAAGAAACTCAGCAACTGGAAGAAGAGCTGGAGATCTTAGGAGAGGTAATAAACACTTGAGCTTGATACCCCAGACTCGGTAACTGATGATAAAAGAAACTCAATTCCATACACTGTGGCGTCACCTACACACTACATCCTTGTCTGGAATTAGGATTTTCCTCTGTCATCTTTGTTCCTGGATAATTTATCACAAATATTTTGAATTAAGGCACAAAAGTGGTCTTTTTTTCTTTAAGGATAAAGTTTTACCTGTGTTGGTGCACAAATACTACTGAAAGTAAGTTTAATCCTTCTGTAACTCAGAAGGAATTGTAGCTCAGAAGGCTGCTGTAAAGTCAGCCTTGGTTTGTGATAAACTGTGCACTTCTCATACTCCATAGACAGTTTTAAAGGGTGCTAGTTGGGTTGGGCTCTGAACTTGTATTTAAAAAAAAAGGCAAAGACATAGAAGACACTGGCCCTATATGTGTGCATGTAATAGATACTGTTTCCTTTATTTCAGCGATTGGCGAACCTTCAGAAATCACAATTAGGTGATAATAAAGTCCAGAGTAAGCAACAAGACCGAAGCAAACAGTTAAGGCTGTCTACTTCCAACAACAGCTTAGCTAACACTCCCCAGGAGTACAGCAATGATCTGAAGTCATTCCCATCCCGGAGTCCTTCACAAGGGGATGAAGAAGATTCTGCCCTGATTTTGACACAGGACAACCTGAAAAGTTCTGATCCTGACCTCTCAGCCAACAGTGATCAGGAGTCTGGTGTGGAGGACTTAAGCTGTAGGTCCCCAAGTGGGGGTGGCTGCTTGCCTAGTGAAGACAGTGGCAAGGACTCTGATGAGGCTGTATTTCTGGCAGGCTGAAACACCTTCACGGCAGCAAGGATCCAGATGAAGTTGAGTCTTACACAGTCTGGAATGACATCTTTTCGTCAGATGAAGAATGGAAGTGGTCTGTAGCCTAAAGAAATAATCCAAAGAAAGGGAACTGTGCAATTGTGTAAGTAAAGATCTAAGCAGAACAAGCTCTTATTAATTTTAAGACATAGTGCTAAAAAAGGTAATATCTGCTGTTATATTTAGTTAAGCTAATGTGATACTTGTTTTATCAATGCTGTACATAATTATTCCTTACTTTGTACATTTCCATAACTATTTATTGTACAAGATAATAGTTCTTCTCCAAAGATGTGAAATTCCAAAGTACTCTCTTACAGAAGGTTGAAGATGCATTAGTGTTAGCCTTACTGGTGAAGCAGTCGAAAATTATTTTTGTAGAGCTCTTCAGCCTTCAGACATGTTATGTATATTCTTCACTGCTTGTTTTTTTTTTTTTTTCACTAGAGGTGTTAAATTTTGAATTCAAACAATTATTTTGCATATCTTCCTACTAGAATTCTTTACAGCAAAATAAAATTAACAAATGGACCTGCTGGGTAAGGGAACAAATGGAGCTTTGATCCTAAAAAAAAAAAAAAATCCTTTAGTAAGCAGTTTCTGCTGCTGCATGTGAATGCATCCCATTTGTACTTGGTCCTCAAGCAGTGTTGAAAATTCAGTAGTTTCTGTGACCAAAACTTCAAAGGAATATAACAATATTCACACAGCCTTTGTGCTAAAGCATCCCTTTAAAACGAAAGGTACATAAGGCAGTTTACTCTAGCTTCTTTATGTTTTGTTTACAAGTTTTTTTCTATCTTACTTTTCTTCCAAACCACCTACCTAAAATTTTAAAGGTAGTAAAATCGCAAATTCTCCAGCCTATTCTGATTCCTACTTGAGAATGTTTTATTTGAGTGTAAGTGAGCTACATATACAGTGCAGAGGAAAGAGAATGTAAAACCACTTAAAAAAATTCACTTATGAAAGCATCTCTCTGAATTCGTAAGGAAAGGAAGGTTATGCCCATAAAGGAACTGTTATAAAGAATATTCCTTCCAAATTCTGTTGTTCAAAATAAACTAACCACTAGCAAGCAGTTTTTTTGTCTTCATACAAAATTTCCCTTTTACTATTTGCCAAACTGAAGAGCATGGTAATGCTAATTTAAGAAAAGAACTGACTCAGCATTTACCAGAAAGTTTAATCTTGTTATCATATTTTTAAGAATGTATAGGAGTAAAAGTTTTCATAATCATCAGTACAGAAATAAACAACTGAAAAATGTTTAAAATTTGGAATGTCTTGAAACTCACTAAAAAGGTGGCCAAATTGGGCTGCAATTCTTCCAGGTTTCTTTTTTATTTATATTAAGTATTAGTTAAAAGCAAGCAGTTAAAAATATAGTTCACATGGCTGCTCTTACCTGCTTGGAGACAATGTGGTATTGAACTCTAGTAAAGCCAAGTGGTAGTAATGCAAATTTACTTTGATTGCATTTCACATTACTCCTTCAAATACAGGCTTACAGACAGAGCTATATTACGTGAATATGCCTCAATTTAGAATTGTTAGATTTTATTACATTTATGGAATGGGTTTCATTCTGTGAACTTATATTATTAAAAGTGAGTATGTAAACTTCAGTATTATTAATACCCTCCTAAGGGAGCTGACGTCTTTGAACAAATAATTCCTAACAGCAAAGTTTATCTTATAATGGAAAGGGCAGATCCTCAATTTGATAAATCCCTATAGCTCAATTCAAATAAATACAACTCTAAGGTATACTCTGTTGAGAATCTAGCCTTCTGTTTTTAATCTTTATGAATTTTTAATAAATGAAATCCCAGATTTTAATTGCACTTTTAAAAATTTTTTGTATTTTGAGTATAGCCTGTAAAATTTATGTTATTAGAGACTTTGAATGCATTTTCTCAAACTAAAGAAATATGCTGC